GTATTTAATATTTTTCTATAACATGTAAATTTGGGTGGGTCAAATTTTTGGACCGTTATCTTAAGTTGTTTTGTTAGATGAGCTCCAGATTTGGCTTCAATACTGACTAATCTAATGTATATGCACAAATATAATTCTGTATAGTTTCCTATTAAAAATATGCATTTAAAAGAGAGATTTATTTACACTTATATATGCTAAGCATTTTTTAAATTTATTTTTAAAGTTTTTATAATTTTATTTTTTATTTTATTTTACAGTTTTTATACATCATATATATATATATATATATATATAATTTATTTACAGTAGTGTTTTACAGAGCAAGCAATTTCCTAAACTACTTTTTTTCTTTTGGAGAAACTTATATTTATTTTAGTTTACGAGCAAAGAGGAGTTTACAACATGAAACATAAAAAACAACATTAAAAAAAAATCTACTTTTAAGGTAAATATTTTTAGCCCCCTTTATTTTTTTAAATAAAAAATCCGATTGGTTACAAAAAAAAAAAAAAACACTCTTGTCCAATGACTTGCCTAATTAACCTTAGTTTCTTAATTAGCCTAAATAACCTACTTAGGCTTTTAAATTTTTCAATACTACTATCTTGCAAAATAACTAGTAAAATATCATGTACTGTCATCAGGGCCACAAAGACAAAATAAATTAGTTATTAAAACTATTATGTTTACAGATTGTGTAAAGAAATATTTTCTTAAATATTTTTAAAAGAAATTAATAATAGAACCAATCCTTTTTCATTCAACTGTACATTAAAGTCACTGCAAATAATAAAATGGTTTCTATAGCCTCGAACCCCCCCCCCCCCATCCCCCCCCCCCCCCCCCCACACAGACAAGGAATGTTTATTTTTAAACCATAATAAGCTCAATCTCGATTGCATATCGACTTTAACTATACAGTATGTTTCATCCAAGCGGCTGATTGCATCCCTCCAGTCACTAAAACCATATCAAATGGGTAAGCCAATGGATAAAAGGCCTGGATGCAGACAAATGACAAAAGAAAAAAGGCCACCATCAATATTCAGTAGTCAAACCCATGAAATACATACAAAAACCGCCTGCATGCAAGGTGCATTAGGACCTGTTCTGTGCTCTGGACACTCAAAGAGGAAGATACACACACACAAACACACACGCACACACACACATGTGGGCCCTTTCACCTGCACAGCCTTTCATCTCTTTATTAGAGCTGTCAATTGTTTATCAAAAGCCGGGAGGGGACAGATCCGCAACCGTGAATTTGAAAAGCGCATACAGAAAGGTCCGTTTTAAAATGCATGACAGGTTAATGGTAAGTTAGAGTATCATTAGGCCCCGTTCATTCACATTTAAAACAGGCCCTCGCTTCAAATGACTAGGGAGCAGTCTTTATTTTGAGAGGTAATTCATATTGTAATTATATTTTCAATCACAGTTCATTAATTAAGACAAGTCCCACTCTGTAATCATGCATTTCATCTTCTCTGTGATTTGCGGGACAATCTCCAGTGTTAGCTGGAATTATAGGGCCAGAATAGCTCGCACGTCCACTCCGAACACTGATTTATGCTAAGCAGACGAGGGAAAAGAGACTGAACGGTCACGTTAACTGCTCGAATGTACAGTATTTTTCGCATCGCTCCTGATTTTCAATTTTTAAAGAGAAAAAAAAAATACTACAAATGATTTTAAAATGTGTTTCATTTTTGTTCTTTGTATTTGTCGCATTTTAATGCAACCTTTTTATTTTTGTACCAGACCAGACTTTAATCATTAAAATTTAAAAGAAATTTCATAAAAATGAGTTTGAAACTACTTGAAATAAATAAATATGGGTCAATAATGCTGTTCATAATATGCTCCAGATTCTCTTATTAACAAGAACTCTTATTGTTTAACTTTATTGAACTTATCGGATCATAATTATCTAGGTAAAGTGTGTAATATAACAGTGTTCCTTTATAAAATGCTTAGTTTTTCTTTGTAAAACTCTTAGTGTGTAACCCTTTGTTGAATGTATGTGATCATTATAATCTAGAAACAGTTTGTAAAATAACAGTGTTTCTCTGTAAAGCGCTTATTGTGTAACTTTATTGAATGTATTTGATCGTAACGATTTAAGAAATTTCTGTAAAATAACAGTGTTTCTTTGTAAAACTCTTAGTGTGTAACTTTATTAAGCGTATTTGATCATAATTATCTAGGTAAAGTGTGTAATAAAATAGTGTTTCTTTATAAAACTCTTTTTGTGTAACCTTTATGAATGTATTTGATCATAATAATCTAGAAACAGTCTGTAATACAGCAGTGTTTCTTTGTAAAACTTTTAGTGTGTAACTTTATTGAATGTAGTTGATGGTAATAATCAAGGAAAAGTCTGTAAAATAACATTGTTTTTCTGGAAACATTTTAATGAAAATATCTGTAGATTTATTACTTTTGCACTTTATACTTTTTTATTTATTTTTATTTTTTTACAGTGTATATGTTTTGCTTGTGTAGAAAATGTTTTTTGATTTAAGAACTTTTTGATTTTGACTAGAAACTAGACTACAACTCTAAGGGCCCTATCATTCACCCGGCGCAATGTGGCGCAAGGCACGGCGCAATACTTGTTTGGTAGTTTCAGCTTGGCGCAAGAGTCGTTTTGAGGCGTTGCCCTACGCTGTTTAAATAGCAAATGCATTAGCGCTCACATGTGCGCCCATAGGCGTTCTGCTCCAAAAAGGAAGGCGTTCTGAGGCGGACTGCTGGCGCGTTGCTATTTTGAGAAACTATAATAGATTTTTCATTAGACCAAAACTAACCCGGTCTAAACTCCAGCGCAGAGTTGCGCCTCGCTTACGCACTGCTTAATACGCACAAGAGAGCAATAGGCAAATATCTTTACATATGAAAAAATTTAAATATTAAGGATATATATAGGATATAATAAGAATAGATATAGGATATAAATATAAAGGATTCAAATATTACAAAGCATATTATTTTCTAGCCTACATAAATACGAAAAATCACTGTTTTTATGTCTTCTTCATCTCGGGAGGCTTTTTCAGTTCATTCATAACAATTTGCTTTAGCATAATGTTATTATTATTAACAGTATTATTTATTATATTCATATTTATATTTGTTTTATTAAAAACAAGCTTAGATTTGCCCACCTGTCAGGTTTTAGACCATATGGGGCATGGCAGGTGTTTTTGGAAATAACTCAGGTTTTTGACCACACTTGGTCATTATTGTTCATTTATTTTGCTGGAAATTAGAACTGAATTTAGAAATAGTTTTGAAACAAATCTTTGCGCTTAACAAACGAAATTAATTATTTATAGGCTAATTGATGTCTGTGTGTAAAGGTTTTCCTATGCAAGAGCGAATGTGAAAGTGATCCATTATCTCTCATTCTCACGCGGTAGATGCTCTGTTTAACATTTATCTGTTAAAAAACTGTTAACTGTTAACTGTTTGCTTGTGAAATGCTCATTTTTTCCACTTAGACTTACTTTGCGTCCTGTAAATAGCGAATGCGCTCTTGGCGCGACGCAGCTTGCTCTTAAAGGGAATGGGAGATGAGAATCTAATTGGTTTATTCTCAAAACACAACTATAACTCATTAAGGAAATAAACTCAACCCTTTTAGACCATGCGCCGCGGCGTAAGACAGATTTCCCGTCCTTAAATTAGCAAAAACACGTCCTGACATGCCCTGAAAGAGTTTGCGCTTTGCGTTTTGCGCTCTGCCCATGGACCGTCAAAATAGAGCCCTCAGTGTGTAACTTTATTGAATGTAGTTGATGGTAATAATTAAGGAAAATTCTGTAAAATAACAGTGTTTTTCTGTAAACATTTTAATGAAAATATCTGTAGATTTATTACTTTTGCACTTTATACCTTTTTTTTTTTTTAAAAGTGTATATGTAATTAAAAAAAATGTTTTGATTTAAGAATTTTTTGATATTGGACTAGAGACTACAACTCTAAGTAATGAAAGCCTTTTTTGCAGTGAATATGCTGAAAAACATGTTATAAAACGACCATATCTGAACTAGAAGCATGCTATTTCCTTAAAGAGTCCATAGACATTCACAAAAACCTGGCTGATTAAAACACACACACACAAATCAAGCGCGCGCACATACACACACACATGCCAGCATAAAAAATTCCCTGTATATCTCACAAAGGCCATTTCTCTGCAAGAGTAAACAATTCTTCAGCTTCACATGCCAGAGAGCTTTCAGCCGCACGTCTGAGGTCCTTCATCATTAAATATTTAGAGAGGGATGAGCGTCGGATAGGTCTAATGCTTCTGACATTTTGCACACGGTTTGATATCGGCATGTGCTGCGAACGCGTCAGATGAAACACTTATTCATCTTTATAAATGAGACTGGCCGCACAATCGCAGATCCATTCATGACGGAACGGGGACCATCGTACGTAGTACTCCGCATTTCACCAATCCGCACCGGCCAATTACCACCCGACTGTTACCATGGAAATGTCGTCAGTTAGTCATAAGTGCTGATGTACATTGATTGGTGAGAGAATGGATTTTTCGAAGGGTCTGCTACAAGATGTTGCCGTCTGTCGTCCTTTAAGAGGTCTAGCTTTGAATTGTAGGCCTCCTCCAAATTACCTGCGAACGTACTTGATGCCTAAAGCTACCAACCACTCTTAAACTTTTCCGAATGTTCCCATTCGTGATAAATCCAGACAGCCAAAGAGTTAAAATGAACATAAACTGTAATGTGAGGCACTCAACTATTTTAAAACAGCTGAGGCAGATCAATATTAACATGCTAAGCGATTTTGTTTCAGCGTTGGGAGGCTGAGACATTTAACGCTAGAGAGTGAACAGCAGTTCAGGGGAAGCTTTGCACACACACTCACACAAGAAAAGCAGATCACATTATGTTTTCGACGTGTGCCATGTTGCTTTGCATACAGTAGGTATAACCAAAGGCATAATGAGAGATCAGCTCTACCTGAGACAAGTGAGACTGTGTCTTTCTCCCATGATACAACACTGACGTACTCCTCTACCGAGGCCGGGATAATGCACTTGAAGACTGCCGTATTCCCTCGCATGACTCTCTGATCGGCCACCCGCACTGTGTACGGCTCCCGGAATACTGTGTGCACAGAAAACACAGCGTTCTTACAGATACACAATACAAATCTAAACTCTAATTGAATTCTTTGACTGATATATATGGTCTTACTTTACTTTGATGGTCCGTTTGTTGTATTTAAGTTACATTGCATCTAGACGCCAAACTAATTCTCATTAGATTAGAAGTAGACTGTTAAGTTGGGCTTAGTGTAAGTTGACGTACTTGCAAAGTTTCTTATAGTCAGTTAAATGTCTGTTGAAGGAGCCGTATTAGCGGATATTAAGCAGACAGTCGACTAATACTCAAATGGACCATTAAAATAAAGTGTTACCATATATATTAGTGCTTGATTCTGTAAACTCCATTTTTTAACACTAAAAACCACTAATGATTCCATGTGTTCAGGCATATTTATACAGTCACTTTCATACAGCTTAGTATCAATGGTTTATATTAGTGAAATAGCTCTTTTGATAACACTTTAGTCTTTAGTAACAATTCATACCACTTACTGCTGGCTTATTACCTGACTATTATTAAGATAATAACTGTTTATTAGCATGTATAAAGTATGATATTATATTATATCCCTAATCACACCTGATACCAGCAGGTAATTCATATTTTTTGGAGCTGAAAGTCTTAGTCTTTACAGAATCAGACAAATAATAATATTTACCTCAAGCCAAGTCAATTCAGAAATTGAGAAAGTTGCATTAGCTGCACTAGATAAGGTTCTCTCTGACATGTTTGTCAAGTTTTGAGTTACTGACATATTCTCATGTCAACTTATTTACATTATGGGATGTTTTTTTATAAGTTGTTTACATTTTAAAACGTTTTATTTACAAAAAACAAATGTTACACACATACTGTTTGCTATATAGTATGCGAAAACTTTGAAGCTCAATATCTCAAAATCATTCCGAACGCAGATAGAACCTTATAATTCCAAGGTAACGATTTATTTATATATATATATATATAGATATATATCTATATATATACAGTTGAAGTCATAATTATTAGCCCCCTTCAAATTTTTTTCTTCTTTTTCAAATATTTTCCAAATGATGATTAACAGAGCAAAGAAATTTTCACAGTATGTCTGATAATATTTTTTCTTCTGGAGAAAGTCTTATTTGTTTTATTTTGGCTAGAATAAAAGTAGTTATTAATTTTTTAAACACCATTTTAGGGACAAAATTATTAGCCCCTTTAAGCTATATTTTTTCTCGATAATCTACAAAACAAACCATCGTTATACAACAACTTGCCTAATTACCCTAACCTGCCTAGTTACCCTAATTAAGCCAGTTAAGCCTGTAAATGTCACTTTAAGCTGTATAGAAGTGTCTTGAAAAATATCTAGTCAAATATTATTTACTGTCATCATGGTAAAGATAAAATAAATCAGTTATCATAGACGAGTTCTTAAAACTATTATGATTAGAAATGTGCTGAAAAAATTTTCTCTCCGTTAAATAGAAATTGAGGGAAAAAAAAATAAGCGGTCTAATAATTCAGGGGGGCTAATAATTCTGATTTCAACTGTGTATATATATATATATATATATATATATATATATATATATAGAGGGAATAACATACACCAGGCCATGAAACAGCCTATAAGCCAATTTTCTAATTACTGTTGAACCCTTAACAAGTGGGAGGCACATATGAAAACTGTTGTGATTCCTACAGTGTTCAACAGATTTGGATGTAAATAGCCTCAAACTAAAGCTGACAGTCTGCAGTTAAAGCACATCTTGTGTGTTTCATTTTAAATCCATTGTGTTGGTGTGCGTGTGTGTGTGTGTGTGTGTGTGTGTGTGTGTGTGTGTGTGTGTGTGTGTGTGTGTGTGTGGACATATAAAAGCAAAATTTTTGCTTTTTAATAGACTCCTTTGCTGGTTAGTTGAGGTGTTTGAAAGACAGAAAAAATGACCCAAATTCCAGCATTGTCTTCTGTACACTTGACTGACCTACGCAAAAATGCATTAATATTTCAGTGTTTTTCATCCATCTGTCAGAGAAGCACAGCTCTATAAGCATTTTTAAAATACAGTGTTGAACTGTTAGAGACTGAAAAAAAACTCAAAATTATTTTAATTGATTTTACTTTTTTTGTATCTATTGTTGATGTGCAAAAGAAGACATATATATATATATATATATATATATATATATATATATATATAATTTATTTATTTTTTAATAACCATCTTAAAGCTATAATAACAACAACAAAATGGCATTACTGAATAAATATTTGAGCATTTTTTGTCTGGTTGGATTTTGATGTTGACTGACCGGCCTTAATGTGTAGATCTTGGCTCCTGATCTTTCCTGATGGGTTTTCCGCTGTGCAGTAGTACGTATTATCATTGATTAGGTTACTAAAGCTGGATGGCAGGAAGCCGTAGATCTGTAGCGTGCCATTGGGATGCACATGGCGGATGCCTGGTACATCGTAGATCTCCTCCCCGGTGGCGAGGTACCAGCGCAGCGTGGCAGGGGGCACAGCCGCGGCAGGACACGGCACCAGTGCCCCTGTGGTGCTGGAGAACACTACCTCTTGCAGAGATGCATTGACAAAATATAAGCTGGAACGTAGATCTTCACCGAAAACTGGAAAAAGACAAAATAAAAGTGCATTAATATGGATGAATGAGTGGAGACACGTTAATGTTGGCTGAATTTCTACACTGTGAAAACAAATATTGCTGTTTAAAGAGGCCTCTATTATGGGTTTTTGAAAAAAACTGTGTAACACAGCTCTAAGTAAAGTGAAATACCCAGCTGAGGCTTAAATATGAAAGTGCACCATGTTTAAAACTATTGATTCATCTATAAATGAGTCGACTCAGAAAAGTTTAAACGAATCCTCGGGGTAACGAATCTTTAGCTGTGTCGGCATGACGTCAATATGGAACCCAAGCTCTGACTACTTCGAAATTGTTGATAAGCCATGGTGGGTGATCCTCTCTGTTTCGCGCTGAACGCAGTTGACAAATCACAACAAACTGGGTCATCGGACCTATCAGCTCAGATTAGCATCGCTTTCAAGAAAGGAACAAATAAATCGCTGAACGTAACATATTGGAGTCATTGGGATAATTAGGTAAAAATAAATGCATATTATAAGACAATTAAAGTGTTTTTGCCCTTGGATGCATATCAGCCTGTTGTTGGAGACCCCCAAAATCAAACCGAATCAAAAAGCGTCACTCGTACTCTACAAACACGAATTACAGTTTTACCACGGACACGACAACCTGATTACGAGTACGAATCAAAAAGCAACACTCCACTGTCAAAATTACGTCACCGCTGTCACAGTTCCCAGCAAGCACACCGTTGTGATCGATGGCTCTCACTTGTTTATTAATGCCTGTAACAGCGGTGACAGAAGTTTTACAGTGGAGTGTCGCTTTTTGATTCGTACTCGTAATCAGGTTGTCGTGTTCCATGGTGAAACTGTATTTCGTGTTTGTAAAGTACACCCATCGTAAATTTATCAGTCATATACAAACAGACAAAAAATATATATATCTGTGTCTGTTCTTTCATTCATTCATTTTCTTATCGGCTTAGTCCCTTTATTAATCCGGGGTCGCCACAGCGGAATGAACCGCCAACTTATCCAGCAAGTTTTTACACAGCAGATGCCCTTCCAGCCACAACCCATCTCTGGGAAACATCCACACACACACACAAACTACGGACAATAAGGCCTTCCCAGTTCACCTGTACCACATGTCTTTGGACTGTGGGGGAAACTGGAGCACCCGGAGGAAACCCACGCGAACGCAGGGAGAACATGCAAACTCCACACAGAAACGCCAACTGAGCCGAGTCTCGAACCAGCAACCCAGCAACCTTCTTGCTATGAGGTGATAGCACTAGCTTCTGCGCTATTGCTTCGCCCTTTGTCTGTTCTAATCGTATATTTTGAAATTGGACCAGCTTAAAATTACGAGTACGTCTCATTTTTCTTTAAGTTTTTATAATCACAGATGTGTGAATTTTATTGACGCACAAAATATTTATGACAGTGATTTTATTCCAAATTAATTATAATTATAGGAAATTATAATTGGCTGAATCATAGAAAAGCAGAATTAATATTGTTTGTAGGTTAGAATCGAGATCGCAATCTTTTTACGATTAATCGCGCAGCTCTAAGCATAATGATCAAAATTTGCTGAATTGCTTTAATGTATTATAATTTTATAATATTTCACAGAATACTTTTATAATTTCATTTGGTAACACTTTATAATAACTACACACTATTAAGCATTAGCAAATAGTGAATTCATTATCCGTTAAGCATTAACTCTACATTAATAAACGTTAGTAAGCAGTTTATAACTGCAGCTACAAATGCTGTTTTCTTGACATAACCACATTTAAAATGTGCTTAATAATTGTATTTTCATACATGAAGTTGAGTTAATAAAGCATTTATTAACATACATAGTAACCATTAATATATGCCTGAATAATAAGACATATAAATGTTGATTTCAATAGTTTATTAATCATTTACTAACTCATTCTGAATGATCCTAAAAACCCTCAAATACTCTTAAATACAACTGGTTTGTAAATAATGCGATACTCAATTTAGTAATGAAAAATTAATCATTTACTAAGTATGAAAATACAATTATTAAGCACATTTTAAATGTGGTTATGTCAAGAAAACAGCATTTGTAGCTGCAGTTATAAACCGCTTACTAACGTTTATTAATGTGGAGTTAATGCTTAACGGATAATAAATTCACTATTTGCTAATGCTTAATAAATGATTTATAGTGTGTAGCTATTATAAAGTGTTACCTTTCAGGGTATAACAATTATTTTAATAAACAAAAATAAACATAGTAAATATTAAGAGCCAAAACCTGAAATGCTGAATGAAAAAATAATTTTGCAATGCATCAAACTGACAGCTAAATATACCCCAGTAAATGCAGGAGTGCAAATGCATACACTTACACACCTTAACATTAAAGGTCAACCCTAGAACACAGAAGACAAAATCCGACTTGCTCAATGTAGGTAATCACAAGAAAAATATTCATAATCAAAGTTCAAGATGTATGACTTGCAGCTAATTGCTAAATCTTGATGGAAATGTCTGTGCCACGGGCCCTCCAGTGTGTATCTGAGCGCCAATCTCCGCTTGGCAGTAAATGGCTCACCAGTGACAGCTGGCAGTTTTTTTCCCTCGGGAAGAAACATTTTAGCACTTCATAAATTTCTAACAAGGTTTCAAATTGCAGCAGTTTCAACCTTTTCTGAGGATCAGTGGGTTTCGCTCGCAAAGCAGAAGGTGCCCAACAGAAGAAGACGTGTATTCATAAACACACGTGCGCCCACATGCTCAGATGTAACACTCCAGTTGTTGGCATGCTTGATGAGCAAACACCGACAAGCAAACAAACGAAACCCGCAAACAAGCACTCGTAATGGTGATAATCTTTACTGTGGCAATCGGAGGCATATGGTACCATTCATCAAGTGGCACGCTGAAGCAACCATCTGTTAAAATATCTTGTTTTGCCAGCAGAGAGGCTTGGCGGAGCGCTCGTTCCGATATTAAAGAGCGTGAAAACATTCTGGCCTTTATGCAATAAGAATCTGCTCGCCTCGCTCTGTTGTAAATCAAAGCAATCATTGTTGATCTTCATTCCGCGAGGACTGACAAAGTCGCCTTGCTACAAAACTCGAGTGATTCAACACATTCTGCGCTAATCAACTGCCACTTCATCAATTCATGCGGGAATGCTTGCTTATTAGACAAGTCGCTCTTAAAGTGTGGCTTAAAGTGGGATTGAAATTAAAACTCCCTAATGTTAAATACACTTTACAATATTTCCGTGTGTCCATCCACTATCTATCCATCTATCCATCCAGCTATCTGTCTGTAATTCAATCAGAATCATGGTTTTCAAACCAGATTTTGAGCTAAGACCCAAATGTTTATAATGTCTCGCTCCACCCCTAAATGAAACATGGGCTGGGCTTCAGTCTACTTGTAGGATGCTTTTACACCTAGGGCCCTATCATACACCCGGCGCAAGGCGTGATGCAGTAGTCTTTTGGTAGTTTCAGCTTGGCGCAAGAGTCGTTTTGAGGCGTTGCGCTACGCTGATTAAATAGCAAATGCATTAGCGCTCATTTGTGCGCCCATAGGCGTTCTGGTCTAAAAAGGAAGGTGTTCTGAGGCGGACTGCTGGCGCGTTGCTATTTTGAGAAACTATAATAGATTTTTCATTAGACCAAAACTAACCCGGTCTAAACTCCGACGCAGAGTTGCGCCTCGCTTACGCACTGCTTAATACGCACAAGAGAGCAATAGGCAAATATCTTTACATATGAAAAAATTTAAATATTAAGGACATATATAGGATATAATAAGAATAGATATAGAATATAAATATAAAGGATTAAAATATTACAAAACATATTATTTTCTAGCCTACATAAATATGAAAAATCACTGCTTTTATGTCTTCTTCATCTCGGGAGGCTTTTTCAGTTCATTCATAACAATTTGCTTTTGTATAATGTTATTATTATTAGCAGTATTATTTATTATATCCATATTTATATTTGTTTTATTAAAAACAAGCTTAGATTTGCCCACCTGTCAGGTTTTAGACCATATGGGGCACAGCATGTGTTTTAGGATATAACTCAGGTTTTTGAGCAATTTTCGTTATTATTATTCATTTATTTGCTGGGAATTAAAACTGAATTTAGAAATAGTTTTGAAACGAATATTTGCGCTTAACAAACAAAAGTATTTATTTATAATCCATTATCTCTCATTCTCACGCAGTAGATGCTCTGTTTAACAGTTTTCTGTTAAAAAAAAACTGTTAACTGTTAACTGTTTGCTTGTGAAATGCTCATTTTTTCCACTTAGGATGCTTTCACACCTACACTTTTGTTTCGGAACGTGTCTCGTTTGCCCAGTTAGCGCGGTTTGATTGGTATACTGTATGTGAACAGGGCAATCGCGCTCTGTTCCGCGCCAAAGTAATCGCTCCGAGATCGCTTGAATGAGGTGGTCTCGGCTCGATTGAAACGAACCCTGGAGCGGTTCGATTGCAATGAGAAAGCGATCCGATCCAAGCGCGGTTATATCACAGTGTTTTCTGGATATGTAATAGGCTTACGGCTATATGAAGAGAGAATTATGAGTAGGGCGGGAAGTTTCACGAGTCTCCGGATGCCCGCAAACGAGTGATGATCTCCCGGTAATCTCGCGTCTCCCTCCCGGTCCGCAAATAGGCATTGTCGCTCACCCTTCTCACCCCTCCCCACCGCGTCTCTCCTCAGACACGTCGCGCGCACGCACCCTGTCAATCACCACCTCTCCTGACAGCTTAGCGGGACGCTGCAAAATAAACCCTGACACTCTGACCAATGTGAGGAGAGTTTACTCGCATGTGACTTTTTTTTTAGCTCTTTTGGTCCGATTAGAAACTTTGCAGTGTGAAAGCGAACCGCTCCAAGAGCAAAGAGCAACAATGTAACATTTGTAATCTCTGTTTCGGAACAACTGAATCGATTCACAGGTGTGAAAGCACCCTTAGACTTACTTTGCGTCC